ACAATATGCTGTTTGCATCAAATTATTGATTATTTATTATTTATAAATGGTACTAAGTATCCTTTATTAAATGGTAAGGCCGTAAGGGAAGGGATAGAATCTATCTTGTTAGTTTGTATACCTTCAGCATTTTGTAGTTCCTGAGACACTTGAAAAATGTATTGCTGCTGAGTCAATTTTGGTTCATATTGACTGTAGAGGGCAGAGTAGAGCTGCCTCCTAGAATTTCCAAGACTACATCTTTGTGGAAGCAGATCACCACATGATGAAGGGTTGGTGGCTTCAAACCACTGATAATTCAGTAGCAGACTGTGCTCAACTACTTCACCACCCGAGCTTCTGGTGACACATATTAAGCATTCAACAAAAATGACTGAATGCCTAGGAGGCCAGATCTGGAGAACTTCTGCCAAATATTTTACTGCTATATAAATGAAACCACATTGGAGAGTCTTCCTGTCACTCCTCTGTCAGATTGCCACATTGTGGTGACTTGCATGTGGCTGTAATGCTGGAAGCCATGCTGCCAGTATTTCAAATATCTGCAAGGTCTGACTGATGGAAGAACATTGCCAGATATAGTGATAGAAGACAAGACTCGCCCCCAGGTTAGAAAGTACCCAAAATGTGACCAACAAAGAGCCCCCACCTCAGAGTAAAGTCTATGTAATGACTCAGATGAGGAAAGCTTTCACTCAGTGAAGGATATTCATTTGTCGATGTAGCAAGACTCAAAATAAGGAGTAACATCCATTAATAATTGGAACATTTAAAGGACAAACTATGAATCTAGGAAAACTGGAAGTTGTCAGAAATGAAATGGAATACATAAAGATTGACATCCTAGGCTCACAGTTTGAATCCATCAGCTGCTCCAGAGGAGAATGGGCAATCTCCTTCCACACTATTTAATGCCTCTGAAAACCCACTGGAAAAATCAGCTATGAGTCAGTTCTGATTTGATGGATACAGTAACAGTAACAGGCATTAGTGAGTGGAGATAGATTGATATTGTCCATTTTAATTCAGAAAATCATATGATCTATTATTCCAGGAATTACAAATTGAAGAGGAATGGTGTCATATTCATCATCAAAACGAGTATCTCAAGATCTATCCTACAGTATCCTGGGCGATAGATACTATCCATATGCATAGAAGGAAGACTTGTTATTGTTGTTGTTGTT